ACACACACACACACACACACACACACACACACACACACACACATGAGCAGCTGGATGTGCTCTCTCAGATTTTCCTGCTTGCATTATGAGTATTGTTATCACTGTCATCTTTGTCTTCATCGGACTCTTGCTCTTCTGCTATGGGATGTAGTCTACCCCCAGCGGCATCCTCTGCCTGTCTGTCCGTTTTTGCCAATTTCTTCAACTCCTTTTTCTTCTGTCTCTTAGCTCGTTTCTTGGCTGTCCTCAGTTCTTGCATCTTCAACACCTCTTTCCTCCGAGCCTCGAACTCTGCAGCATCCTTTTTCAACTGGTAATCCACTTCCATCCTTGCCAGGCGATCCTGTTCCTTGCGCCGCATCTGCCTGTACTGGTGGAAATCTCCACTGCCGGAGCCCGCAGAGCTCCCAGAGGTATTCCCCACCCTCACAGGTACCTTCTCCGTGATACGCTGCAGCTTTACCTCAAGTGGCTCTGCCTCCGGATCGACCACCGACTTACTCTGAAGAGCAGTCCCATCCTCAACAGGGTCCGGAAGCGCCACAATCTGAGTGTTACCATCGGTGAAAGTTTGAGATGTCGTGTAGCGAGGCATCTTATATCTTTATCTTAGCTTCTCTGTTCACAGTTAAGGCTGCAAAGTCGCTGCAAAGTCGAACCACTGTTTGTCACACTCAAATCAACGTCTTCTTTCACGACTAAGAAACAGCACAACAGAGAACAAGGCCCACTACACTCTAGAAACAACTAGTTAAGGTGACACGGTAGGGTTTCTCACACTCAAATCGACGTCTTCTTTCACGACTAAGAAACAGCACAAGAGAGAACAAGGCCCACTACACTGATGAAACAACTAGTTCAGGTGGAAAGAGTGCGCAAGCAGTGACACGGTAGTGTTTGTCACACTCAAATCAACGTCTTCTTTCATGACTAAGGAACAGCAAAAGAGAGAACGAGGCCAACCACACTCTAGGAACAACTACCAGTAGTTAAGGTGGAAGGAGTATGCAAGCAGTGACACGGTAGCAAAACCTGTGGCTAGGACCAGATGGGGCCGTTTCAACAAGGACCGTGTAAAAGAACAGCACTGCATGAATGACTGTGTACCACCACAGATAGGCTGTTCTGACGCTCACCAACATGATAACAACAACTCATGGGCTTGACATATACGCAGGCATGGCTACCGCTCTTTCCTAATGAGGAAAGACGAACGATCCCCGATTTCTGAAGACAACAACTACTACTACTACAGCAGCAATACCTCTTCTAACGGATCTGAATGCGACACATGCTGCTCATGTTCCCCCAACCCACCAGCCATTGGTTGATTGTTGAGCACCATAGCTGTGAGGTAACCAGATCAAACCCAACAGATGCCTGCTGGCTTTTCAGTCACCAATCATTGGTTGGTTGTTGAGCACCCACAGCTGTGAGGTAAACAGATCAAACCCTACAGATGCCTGCTGCCTTTTCGGAGGATTATTGTGGCATCCTTGAACTGGGTTGGTGGTTATCATCACTATCATCATCACAATAGTCATACAATCGCAAGGATCAGGTTCTTTTTTTTTTGGGGGGGGGGGGAGCAAGGATCAGTTTATCGAATGTGATTGACGGGGATTGAATTTGTCAGATAAGCCCTGGCTTCAACCCCTAATCGACCACCACAGCGAGCGCAACCGGTGTGTCCAAGCCTCCTCCATGCATCTCTCCCTGGGACCTTGACTCCCAGTTCCTGCCATCCCAGCCGAGAGCTGCAGAACGCAGAGCCTCTCGTTCAGCCGGCTCCGAGGCTGCAACCCAACAATTCCGGTGGACAGCACGCCACCCAGCTGACCGCCAACCCTCTTTCTGGTTCAGCAAGCTGCTCTCGTTGATGGGAAGCAAGCAAGCCAGCAGAGCCCTGCGGAGTGTAGGCAATGAGCGAGCTCTCCTTCAGCCACCTAGCGGGCGACAACCCTACCATTCTCGTCTATGGTGAGCACGCTCGCAGATTTCACCACCCGCAGGGTTGACTTTGGTCTCCGAGACCACGACGAGCCCAACGTCACAAATCAGGGCTTGCTTTCAAGCATGATAGTGCACGAAGACATGCCAGTCACCACTCAAAGTCAACGAGGAAGCACTTGCACAATTGCCAGCAGAAACACCTGAAACAATCACAAGTCGTTGACATGCACGCATGCATGCACTGGAAGGGCGAAAGGTCAACCATCAGCATCAGCATAGGTCAAATCAACAGCTGTTGTTTGCCAGGCTTGATAATGTCAGCCTCGATCATTGTACCCAACTCACTGTGACTTCCTTTGCAGGCAAGTTTGAAATTATTTTAAAATCCCTGCTATTCCGAGCCTAACTCTCTACAGCTGTCCTCTGCCCGACCCTGAAGTTGCCAAATCTGAGGGGACCCCCAAAAGAAAGCCAAAACCCTGCCGCAATCGCGACAGGGATTGACGGGTGGTATTTTTCTTCATGGGCGCCTCCAGGTTCCTCCCAGGCTTCCCCGAGGCTCCCACCGGGCTACCACCACACCAGCCCAGCCCTTGTTTACCAACGCAGGATCGCTAAACGCGTTGTGTAAGATGGTGGACTACTAAGCAGAAGCAAAGCAAAAACAAATTCTACGGCCTTCCAGAAGTTCCTCCCAGGCTTCGCCGAGCCTCCCACCGGGCTACCACCGCACCAGCCCGGCCCTTGTTTACCAGTGCAGCATCGCCAAACGTGTTGGGTATTTTTCTCCATGGGCGCCTGCAGGTTCCTCCCAGGCTTCCCCGAGGCTCCCACGGGGCTACCACTGCACCAGCCCGGCCCTTGTTTACTGGCGCAGGATCGCTAAACGCGATGGGTAAGCTGGTGGACTACTAAGCAGAAGCAAAGCGAAAACAAATTCTACGGCCTTCCACAAGTTGCACCCGACCGGACGGATGCCTGATTGGAAAAACACACTTGCACCCACGAGCCTGGCTCAGTGGGTACACCGATGGACTGTTGGATTACAGACCCGTTTTCGAATCCAGATGATGAATCTTGATAAGTAAAACACAATACTTCTACTTCTGAATTTCCTGGGGCTGGTCAGTTCAATGATGATATCTCAAGGCCGTTGCCCTTTCGAAAAACGAGAAAGAAAGAAAGAAAGAAAAAACGACTTGCACTTTGTACCAAACCAACACTGTCTTGAATCAGTCAATGTGACAACCGCATGCAAATCAGGCAACCAGCACATGCTTGCAAAGCAAGCACCAGTCCTCCCCACAGCTCTACTAGAAAGTACGGTATAGCTATGGTAGACAGGTGAAAGGAATCCCTACCTTGGCACGGTAGTTAGATTAGAGCTATTTGAAGCGCCCGCATACCTCTTGGCTTAGGCATCAACCAACTTCGTTCAGTGCCCCCAGGACGGCACTAAGAAAGGAGAAAGAAACGAGAAAAGGACACAGCGGGAATAATATGGCACCCCTTCTACAAAAGCTGCAAGCATCTTATTGCAAGCTCCTTGTTCCCAACTTTTTTTTCCTTCTTTTTTTTCTTTAAGTGCTCGTACCTACCGTCTTCACACGAACATAATGCATATGCGTTGTATTCGACTCTTCAAAAAATTCGAATAGAACGCACGTGCGTAGTATCTGAGAATAGGGCTGGTCAAATAGAACACATTTGCGTTGTATTCGAATAGAACGCGTATGAATGAAAAGCAACAAGCGGCATATGCTTTGTATTCCTTTACATAGAAAGCAACCTATGCTTTGTATTCGTTTACATAGAAAGCAACCTCCGCTTTGTATATATTCGTTTACAGAGCATATGCGTTATGTTCAGGGAAAAACGGTAGTATAATACGGTTAGATGCGGAAACGCCTCCAAGGCAAGAAGAGTGCTCCTTAAACCATCGTGCCGAGAATGAAACAGCACCTGTGCCCCCAGAGCAGCAAGCACACCTTCATGCAAGTTGCTTGTTCCTACTTTTTTTTTCCGATGCCCGTTACTACTGTTTATAGTAGCATAAACAAATATCGTTAGATGTGGAAACGCCTCCAAGGAAAGGAGGGTGCCTCTTAAACCGCCAGTGGTGCACACCCTTTTTTTTGGTCGAAGCCAGAATTTTCCATCACTGATTGTGAGCAGATCAAAGCACCGGAGGAAGGCTGCACAATGGAAAGTGTGGCCTCCATGTGCACAGCCGAAAGTTTTGAAGGAAAGGGTGTCCTGGCCCATGGGAGGAGACACCTGTCTCGATCCGGGTGGTCCACGGGCATGCACACCTGCACAACGTAACAGAGGATGCATTTTTGCCCATCAGGGGGGTCCAAGCCTCCTCAGACGTTCTTTAGGAGCAACTACGCTTACCTAACCCCACACAGTGAGATGACAGAAGAAGCAATATGCCGTTGATCTTCTTTTTTTTCCATCGATCTTTCTAACTGACCTCATCAATTCTTCCTAGCTCCAAATAAAAGAAACAATCCAAGTAAAGCCACAGTGCGGCTTTGTAATCTCGCATATGGAAATATCAGTGAGATATCCGAGGTCTATGCATCCAGAAGTCTCTCTCTCTCTCTCTCTCTCTCTCTCTCTCTCTCTCTCTCTCTCTCTCTTTGTGTGTGTGTGTGTGTGTGTCTCTGCGGGTCGAATCTTATTCGTTAAGATGCAAGGAGTTGAATCCTTCTTTTTTTATGTCAAAGAATCTTTCTTTTCTTGCCGCCAGGGGTTGAATCTTCAGCTTCTTTCTCGATTGTTTCATTAAATGGATATCCCGTATTCTGTCAAAATGACCAGCTTCTTTCTCGAATGTTTCATTAAATGGATATCCCGTATTCTGTCAAAATGACTAGCTGGCGAGACGGACTCTCCCCGGGCTATTCGAGTTCCGTCTCTCAAGAGCGAAGGCGAGTGTGAACCCCTCCGGCCCCCCCTTTGTGTGTGTGTGTGTGTGTCTGTCTGCACATTGATAGAGAGAGATGCAATCAGAGAGAGAGACAGAGGATATGGAGAATACTGCTGGAGCGATATTTTGAACGTCGTGCATTGCGTGCAACAGAGTTCAACCGCTTCTTTCGAGGAAGATGATGAAATGTGATAAAAGTTGATGATGTGTGCAGAATGCCTATGGATTTAACTACAATACTGTAATACTCGATGATGGCGTTAAGTGTGAAGAGACAGAAGAGGAAGAAACAACCCATGAAACTGATGACCGCTTGTTGTTCATTGATTTTAATCAATCCATTTCACCATCTTGATAAGCCGAAGAAGGCTCGCCTGAGAGGATTGGTTGCGGAATTGACGAACATCGTGACTTGGGTAAGATCATTCAGATGCAATCATTAATTCTGCATTTGATTCCGACGTAGAGATGATGAGCATTTGGCATTGGCGTCAACAAAGCCGGCACGCCCGAACTAAGAAACAGGAGACATGCAACCGACCTGGCAACAACCCCGCCAGGAGAATGGAGATTAAAACAAAAAATGACAGAAACAGAGTGACGGGATGACCAATTAGACTCCAGGCGTGAAGAGACGACAGCACAGAGGCACACAAAGAAAGAAAAAGAAAAGACACATGATGGTTTGTGATATCGCACAATCAATATTTCGTCATCATATTTGTTTTCCTCCTTTTTTTTGGTTTAACATTTAGAATCATCTAGGGTGGGACTTGAAGTAAGGACGGGCGTGCCTCCATGAAGAGAAGATAGTGGCCCAAAGATCACTATCCCACTGGGATCTCTCTCTCTCTCTCTCTCTCTCTCTCTCTCTCTCTCTCTCTCTCTCTCTCTCTCTNCTCTCTCTCTCTCTCTCTCTCTCTCTCTCTCTCTCTCTCTCTCTCTCTCTCTCTCTCTCTCTCTCTCTCTCTCTCTCTCTCTCTCTCCTTTTTCCCTTTCTTCCTTCTTCATTGACTCCCTTCCGATTCCATCTTTAAACTTGTCCCCTCCATTCCCCCTCCCAATCTTACCCCACCAATCCGCTTCTATCATCCTCTTCCTGCCTTGTCCTGAGTCCGTCACCTCTCTCTTCCCGTCTCCACGACTGTCTCGCCTCCGTTGGGATGCTCTCCGAGCTTTTACTCTTCAAATACTTGATGTGACCCTTGCGGATCTGGTATACCCTTCCCTCTCTCGCTCTGCCTGTCGAACTTTCTCTCTTCATTGCTCTTTCCATCCCCTGCATGTCCGCATGTACCCGATCCCTCTTGTGACTCCCGCCCTTCGTCAATATCCTGCTCTCTCCTTTCCCTACCTGTTCCCCTCCCTCCACGCTGAGCCCCTCCTCCTCCCTTCCAATCTCTTCGTCCCCTTGTCCGGATCTCGCTACATGACCTGCATTCCTTACCCTGTTGCCTTGGCATTTCATCGGTTCCTACATCCTCACCCTGATTGGTTGGCATTTTGGCCTTCTCCTCCTCTCGATCCCACATCCTGATCCGTCCCCTCTCAATCCGCGCTGCCCATCCCCTTCTTTACGAAACGCGTCCCCGACCTACATCCTCCTCCGGTTTACTTTAGGACCCTCCTCGGCGCCTTCTTCCTCCACAACATCCTTAGTACCGTCGAACTTACCCTGCATGCTTCACCTATCCCCGTGACTCTCTTTTGCTTCCTCTGCGGTCGCATTCCGTCCTGACCGACCAAATCCCGACCCTCTCATCCTCCAGATCCCGCATCCTCGCCCTCCACCTTCCTCCTACTCCATCCCGTCAAGATTCGACGGCGACCTTCTCCTGCCTGGCTGCCTGACCAGGCACAGGCTTCCTCTGGTGTTCCTTMCCCCCCCTGCCTCTTCGCATTCACGGCATCCCCGCCAATTCCTTCCGATAGCGGCCGTCCACAAATCCTGTCCCGCTTGCAACATAGCACTCCCACAAACAATGGAGTTGCAGCCCTAAGGGAATGAACGGATGGATGAAGGGAAAAGGAAAGGAGGGATAAGGGCTGTCTCTTATACACATCTAGATGTGTATAAGAGACAGCCCCCTGCCTCTTCGCATTCACGGCATCCCCGCCAATTCCTTCCGATAGCGGCCGTCCACAAATCCTGTCCCGCTTGCAACATAGCACTCCCACAAACAATGGAGTTGCAGCCCTAAGGGAATGAACGGATGGATGAAGGGAAAAGGAAAGGAGGGATAAGGGGGGGAAGAGGGAGGAGGAGGAGAGAGAAAGAGAGCTTCACGCACCCCGGGCGAACCAGCGTATATCGTTTTTGGGCCGAGCATGAACGGAACTCCCCAACCCTTCACGTACAACACCGCTATGTGTGTGTGCGTGTGTGTGAGAGAGAGAGAGCGAGAAAGGGAGGGAGGGAGGGAGGGAGCGTGCGCTTGGCGACGCCGACCGGACTCAGCTATTTGCGTTTTGAGCCGCGTCGGAATGGAACTCTCCACATCGTGAGGCACAACACCGCAGGCACAGAGCGTGAGAGAGGGAAATCGACTGCACTCCCACACGCCCATTTGCACAAAGCTTGTCTCTGCTCCGCCTGTTTATTCCTTTCCAGGCCACGCCGACCAGGATGGTGCCGCCTACCTCAGGTGGAACACCTGGAACTGTTAAAATGCAACCGTCTCGGCCCCCTTAGTTGGACCCTGCCGCGCCATGCCACTAATCAAACGAAAACTTGAAGGGCCTCGTCGCACCACTCACCAAACCTGGTTTTCGGATCCAGAGGCAACGAGCGGTCAGGCACGCAAGTGGCACTCAGGAGGTCGTGGGTTCCATCCCCAGGCCGCCTGGGGTACGCTTGGTGCCAGCCAGCTGAGATAAAAAGGGAAGGGGAGGGGGAGGGAGGGAGGGGGAGGGAGCGGGAGAGGGAGGCGGAGGGGGCGCAAGGAGCACGCGGGGGAGGGGGAAGCTCAGGGGACAAGGGAGAGAGGAGAGACGAGGGGGGTGGGGAACAACGGCTGTCGAATACGCCTTCGGGGGTGGGGGAAGGAGAGAGGGGTGAGGAGGAAGGATGAAGTTTGGAAGGGTTACAAGACTCACACGCACACATGTGCACGTGAATCATTTGAGTACTGTCTCCTAACCATTGGCACTGGGGGCATGTAAATACAGAGGTCCCGGTACTTGCAGCGGGTCCAATCGACAGGTCCACTTGTATGTTTATTCATGAATGATCTTCATTACATGTTGTCTCATAGCCATGAACCTACACTACATTCACAAAAGAAATTTACAAAAAAGGACACGAAGGACAGAAGGCAAGAAAAAGGCGAGACACAATATTCTTTCTCTTTCCTCTTTATCCTTTTGTCTTTCTTGAAGTTTGTCCTTTATTTCACTTCAGTTCTCATTTCAAGAACAAGGGCTCCTCATGGGGGCTCGCTCCACTACTGTCCGCTATACGATTTCGGATAGGTGGACGCCGCTCCACTTACTTTCCGAAACCTTCGAGTTTCCATGTATAGCTAGCAGTCAGATGGTGCTCTCCAGAATCGCTATCCAAGGTTGTATAGTTCCCAGCCTGCAAAAATCGTTACGCGGAGCGTCCTCAAAGGAGCTCACCGACAGCGCCCGAATTTGGATAGTGTACCTGGAGTCTGGGCGGACCTATTGCTGATGTCGCCGTGTCTTGTAGTGCTGCGAAGGCGTCTGGTAGTGAACTCATGAATCGGGGACCTGTATAGCGGCCAGTAAGTGGAGCAACGCCGCGAATTCTACGTTTTTTCACACTGACAGCTATACACAAACTCTCCAAAAATGTGTATAGCGGACAGTAGTGGAGCGAGATCCATGTTTGCATGGTTGAGAGCGAAACGCCAACACACCCAGCTGCGGTGCATTCACACTTGCGCACTGTGGAATATAGCAGGGATATGGGAGAGCCAATGGCCTCACTTGGCAACACAAGGGGCAGGCCAAACCATTCTGGGATGAAATGAGAGGACGGAGGAGAATTGCAATTATGCCCCTCATTGCCATGATGATGCTCCACTGCTGGACATGGAGGGCAGATTTAAGCTACACAGAAACTTTCGATGCACTTTGACTTTTGTAAACTTGCTTGCCAGTGATAAGTAACCGGACTGGGGAGCTTATGGCGAGGGTGGGGGTCAGACAGGTTATGGTGAGGGTGGGGGTCTTAGTGCGGGTGTTACAGCAACCATGGGCATCAGCAGACAAGGTGGGAGGTTAACGAGAGGGAGGGATTTGCAACTTGGTGTTGTGCCACCGGGCGAAACAATAAAAACGGGAAAAGAGGAAGAACAAGAGGAGGAGGAGGAGGAGGAGGAGAAGAAGAAGAAGAAGAAGAAGAAGAAGAAGAAGAAGAAGAAATAGAGGGGGAGGAGGAGGAGGAGGAGGAGAAGACGATGATGATGATGAATAAGAGAGGAGGAAGAAGAAGTAGTGGCAAAGAAGCAGAAGAAGAAGAAGAAGAACAGAGGTTCGCATCTCTCTCTCTCTCTCTCTCTCTCTCTCTCTCTCTCTCTCTCTCTCTCTCTCTCTCTCACGCACACACACACACACACACACACACACACACACACCTGGAGACGCAATGGTGGGCTGGTGCTGCCGACAGCAGCAGGGGAGGCGACTTACCGAAGACAACGGCGGGCTGGCGCAGCGCGTCTCCAAGGACAAACAGCATGGCGGGGTCGCGCATCGGCGGGCGGAAGAATTCGTCGAGCTTCGACGTGTATGGGCGGGGCGCGGTAGTTGTTCGTGGCGATCTCCAGCGCGTTAACAAAGTTCGAATTGTGGCCGATCTGGGCCGCCGATTGACAAAGATCAGTGGCCCAGATTGGCTTCTTTTGCTTTTGTGAATTCAGGGGGCCACCAGGCTTTTTCTTTTGCCGTTCGACCGGGAGGGGGATCCCACGAGCCAGGTATGTGGATTAGTGTGACGGGTGGGGGACGGGTGGGGGACAGGTGGGTGGCAGCGTGAAATAGGGAAAATAAACGTAAAAAAACAAGGGCAAGAGTAACTCCATACACCATTTGCTGTAGGTGAGGGGATCGAACCCTCCCAAACACCACCCAAAAAATAAGGGGGCACATGCATGTCGAAGGAAGAGGACAACAGCATTGCCCATGTGAAACATTTGCAGGGACTACAGACAACTTGGACGAGGGTCTGACACGGACTGACATTCCCTCATGATGGGAAACACCGAAAAATTTTGCTTTCGGCCTCTCTTCCACCGAGGGGCCACGACCCAAAGGTGAGTGAAAGGTGAGTGAAAAGCAACACAAAAAAAATGGGTCTGATTTTCACTCACGTTCGGGACCCCCGGAGGAACACGGCAAGCAAAACAAAAGAAAGACCACCCAATGGGATGCTCCAAAAAAACATATATTTTCGAGGGCTAAAATACAGGAAAAACAAAACCACCGATCCCCATTCCCATCGACGGCGGAGGCGGGTCACACGCCCTCTACACTACTCCACATACAATGCTAGTGGGATCTCCCTCCGGGAGTGGGGTCTACGAGCCCCAAAACATGACTTAGGCCCGAAAAAAAAAAATTCCCCGCCCCCAGCAAAAATGCGCTGGGGTTACCCTAGCAGAAGGGGGTATGAGATCAAGTGAGTTCTGGTACGAGGACTGAAAGCCTGGACTTGACGTTCCGTCTGTTGAGGGGGGGATTTTTGGATTGTAGGTGGGGTCATTTTTTACCCTCTGCTCTCATAATTTTCCAAGCTTCTTCAGACCTTTTCAAAAAAAAAAAAAAAACTTTGTGTAGCTTAGAAAGACTTCTCATAGTTTTTCAGACTTTTTCAAACTTTTTCTGAATTTTAAACTATTTCATGGGGTTCTTCATGGAATAGGTTAGTAATTGCTCATGATCCTACTCTCAGACAAAGCGGTAAAGTAAGAGTCTGGCTTTTGTGAGTCGGATCCGGTGGAACTTGTAATGTGACGAGCGGTGAAGTAAATTCGTAAGCCTGAGATCGTTGCACACATAAGATGCTTGACTTTTGTGAGACTGTCAGCCCGCGTGCCGTAAGATCATTAATCTCGCTGCTGCTGTAGGATCCCTAGGCCATAGGCAGAATATATAGGATGTCTCCTACTGAGTTAGATGAGTTAAGGAAGCAGTTCGAGACACTAACTGAAAAGGGTTGGATCAGGCTCAGTTCATTTGAGTATGGAGCACCAGTTCTCTTTGTCCCAAGGGAAAATGGTGAACTCATGATGTGTATTGACTACAAAGGCCTGAACTAGATCACTAGGAAGAGCTCAAAGCCCTTGCCTAGGATCGACTATTTGTTGGATATGGTGCAAGGCTGTAAAGTCTTCAATAAAATTGATCTGAAATTCGGGTATCATCAAATCGAAATGGTCGAGGAGGACGTTCATAAGACTGTCTTCAAAACCCGGTATGACACCTACGAGTTTCTGGGCATGTCTTTTGGATTATGCAATGCCCCAGGAACCTTCCAGACAGAAAATGAACAAGATCTTCAAATTCTTTATAAATTGTTTTGTTGTGGTTTACCTGGATGATATTTTGGTGTTCAGCAAGAATGTTGTTGATCATGCTGATCATCCCAGGAAAGTCCTACAGATTCTCGGAGAAAACAAATACAAAAAAAATATCGATGTGTAGACCAGTTTTTTAAGTATGCAGCGTTTATCCCACTGCCTGTTGAGGATAGAGTGCCTCTTGTAAGAGAGGTATTCGCTGAGAGGTGGGTGAGTGTCCATGGACATCCAACCTTTATTATCAGTGACAGAGACTCGGGCTTTTGCAGCGATGAGTGACGATCATTCTGTCAGGATTATCGCCACTCCAAATTAAACATGACGCCAGGTAGACATCCGGAAGCCAATGGACAGGCTAAGGTGATGAACCAGATCTTGTTTCAGTTGTTGTGCCCTGTGACTACACCAGATCAACAGGATTGCGACAAACAGTTGTTCAAGGCACAACTCATGTACAATGCTTTTGTTCATAGTACGTGTGGTTTGACCCTACTGTTTGCACTGGGGTAGAAACCCTAGACAACCTCTCGATAGCATTATCGATAAGGCTAAACCCAAATTGACCCCGGACACTGCTAAGTTCGCCCGAAACTATGAAAATGATTTAGAGAAGGTCAGAGCTAATATGTTGAAATCATGGAAAACAATGATTCAATAGGCTAACAAACACAGACAACATTCTCCTATCCGTCTTGAGCACTGGGTTTAAGTAAAATGTTAAGAACTAGCATATGAACAAGATATCTCACGAAAGTTGTTGCCTGTCTATTACGGCCCATGACACGTTCTTGATAGTGTAGGGGCGGCAAATCCGTTTGGACTCTCTTATGTCCTTGCCGTACCCCCATACATCCGAACTCATCCTTTCTTCCATGCAGGAGTTGAAGGAGGAGAGTGGTGAGGTACCTACCTGACTATGGTGGACACCATCTTCATTACATTGTTAGGCGCTGCATCTGGAAGACCCCGGTTGGGGTAGTGCCTCACCAAGGAAGCTCGAGGCAGAGTCAGGCATGGCGGAATGAGGAGCAGCGACATAGCTGCTATGTGTTATCCAATGGGACAAGAGGGCAGAGCCCTTAGTAGTTCGCCATAGCCTAGGCATGTGAGAGGAAAAAGGGGAAAAGTATGGCTATGGTGGACTTGTTGTTGTGTCAGCAGTAAGAGGGAACTTCGGATATTGATTCTGGTTCATCCACTCATTGTTATTATTATTATTGGAAGAAGAATAAGATTGGCGAACAGAAGGCGGAGGAGGAAGGTGGAGAGAGAAGGGGGATTTGTCATTGGTCTTGCTGGTGTACATCTTCTTCTTCTTCTTCTTCTTCTTCTTCTTCTTCTTCTTCTTTCTCTCTTCTTTGGTCTATATCGCTTTGCAAGTGCTTTCATTGCTTTCGCAATCAGGTCGCATTGCCTTTCATTGTGAATTTGCACTTTGGGAATGACCAGTATCATAACAATTGGTATCGGAGCGGACTTACTTCCTGGAGAGGGATGTTAGTCACCCTAACCCTAATTCCAAATTAGGTTAGGGCTAACCTAATCTCGGATTAGGGTTGGAAGTTAGGGTTAAGAGGGGCAGCGAGGTATGTGGATACTGCCCTACCTGGTTAGGTCATGTAGGGTCGACATCAGAACTGACCACGTTGCTTGAGTGATAATATGGGGGGGCGAGACACAAAGGAGGCTGATTGGAGTAAGTGAGATGGAGTAGAGAGTGAGAGGTACTCGCACCTGGAATCTAGACTTCAAGAAGACATTGAGTGACTTTTGGGTTTCCCCTCAAGAGGGGAACTTGATCGGAGGCTGCCATATCTGCATTGAAGAGCTGCAAGTTGCTACTTTGGTCTTCAACAATGACGGAGGATCCGACGTTGTAACAGGGGTGTAGGGAGGCCCGCTTAGTCATTCTAGGACACTTCGTGTAGTGGTAGCTAGGGGTCAGGATGACCTATAAGAGAGGGGGGTGAGTCGTTAACCATCTTTAGAAGTTGGGCCTTACAAGTGGCGTGTGACTTGGGTATACCCATGGGTGGTTGCTTGGCGCTTCATGGCCTGTTGGGGTGTGTTGGGGGTTCTCTTTCTCTTCTCTACGGTCTTGGTTGTGTGTGTGAGCTTGTGGATTGCTTTCGCACCTGGTGGATAGATGAATGATGTATCTTGTTCTCAATGACATATTTTTCTACAGTGCACTGTCTTTTCATTTCGAACGGCGGTAGGAGCGGGTTTGTGTTGGAAGTTGTTTTTTCCTTTTCAGTACGGTAGAGGCAGTTTGGGACTGACTTGGTACACCTCCCTCATTGGCCCTGGTCCACGACCTACTTGGGACCCTTCGGGACTCGGTGGGACCAGGCCCAATGGACAAGGACCTTTAGGACCAAATCTGTTGTCGTCAATTCATCTTTTTGCTGTGCTGAATTTGGGGGACACACGACTAGTAGGGATATTTCTTTCAAGGGAATCTTGACGGGTCTTACTCTATGTTCTCACAAACTGCCCCGTATATGGCTTGGTGACCGTCTGCACCCCTCGAAATCTCCATTGTTGAAGTTAGTTTTCTTCGACTGACTTATTTGTGGTACATATTCCTTGTCAGGTGAGACAATAGGGGATCTCCAACTCATCTGATCGGACCTATTCGTTAAGTGAGTCCTCTCTTTGACTTGTTTTTTTAATTTATTTATTTTTATTCTCCTGCGTAAATGTCATTCTCTAAGTCCAAATGAATTGTTGCTCCAGCTACAACATATTTTTTTTTCCAAAAGTAAATCATCATTATATAGTAAATTTACATTCTAAATTTTAATTTTTCATTCCATCTTAAAAAATGTCATTCCAATTTTAAATTTTTTTGTCTTACTTCAAAACTTTCCTTTCAAGAATGAGGGATTCCTTCTTATTTGAACTGCATGCTAGAGATGAAATGAAATTTTTGATGAGTTCATGAAATATTTTAATTGAACTGTCATTCTAACTAAGGATTTTCAATCATAAATAGGTTAATACAACATAAATTCGAAGATATTTGTTGTAGAAGAATGAAAGTTGAATTAAAATATTTCATAAATTCATCATGAATTTCATTCCATCTTGAACAAATAAATGTAATTGAAAGGGAAAGTTCATATTTGGACTGAAACTTATCAAATAAAACTGAAAATTTTATAAT